AAAAAAAAAAAAAGGTAACACAGCAAAATAAAAATAAAAATAAAAATAATTAAAATTAGGTGTTGATCATAATCAAATATGAAAGAAATATAAGGACCTGCAAGCAAATTTCACAAATGGTGTCGCCCTTTTCGTAGCACCATCTCTGTACACAGTCTCTGTGTGCAAACTGTCCAAAACAAGACGAACAAAAAAAGATTGAATAAAAAACCATTTTTTTATTCTAAATTTATTAAAGAAAAAAAAAAGTTGTACTGTGACACAAAAGAGACGACACGAATTGGGAAAATGATCATCTCAATCGGATGGATGATACAACTCTCTATTAATCATGAATACATACACAAAATTAGGCCTACGGTTATCTAAAGAGAACTTAAGGCTAATATAGTAAATCGGATGGATGATACAACTCTCTATTAATCATGAATACATACACAAAATTAGGCCTACGGTTATCCAAAGAGAACTTAAGGCTAATATAGTAAATACAGAAATATACACAATACTGTACCTTAAGAGAGCCAGAACAAGCACAGGGAGTCTCTAAGCTCTTACAGCTTTCAAACTCTTCTTCTTCATGGCATATTCTGCATATTGATGATGTTTCATAATTTGGTCTCAAATCTTCTATAAACAATATTGTTTCGCTCATGTTTTTTTTTTTTTTTTATTTTAATCCAAACTGTAATAAAAAGTATTTTGATTTTCAGGCTGTTGGAATTTTTTTTGTGTGTTTTTTTTGGGCTATTTGTTCTGTTTTTGGGGAAGAGTTTGGGTATGGGATAGTTTTAATAGGAGAGAAATGTGTCGTGAACTACCGAAAATGCCCTTAATTTGGACATTAGTCACATAGGTGTATGCGTCACTTTGATTTAGACAAATTACATATTGATCAAAGGATAGGATAGTGATATTATAATTGGATATGGAAATCAGTTATGACCAAGGTTTTTTTTTTTTTTTTTCAAATATTGTATATTATCTTATATTGTTGGCTTATGAATTTTATGGTTTGTATTTAAATAAGTTTTATTAAATATTGTATTTTTTTTCAAGTTCGAGCTTATAAAGTACATTGAAAATTTGTTTCAATCGACTTGTAAACTTATTTTACCAAGTATCTATATTGCGTAAGACTACAAATCCTGTTACATAACTCTTCTGTTAGGATTTATAACTGTTAGATGCACATGTAGATTAGTGTAGCATGTGCATCTAACAGTTACAAATCCCGACGTATTAATTCCGTAACGGGATTTTATAGCATTTTTCATTTCTATTGTATTGCCTGATTATTAGCCACCAGTCATTTGCTATCAGTCACTAACTCAAATTGTGAATTATCAGTTACCAAACATTTTTTATTTAAATTTATCAAACATACATCCGAACTGTAAATTTACACTTATATATTGAAAGAGATAAATATAAATCAACTTGATTAGTTGATTATTATAGGTATTTGAGTATATAATTATTGTGTTATGTGTTAATTCATTGTTTATACATAGCTCAAATATACCTACTTTTACTTTCATTTGAATTGCAAATATATGTACCTTTGATCATTCATGTTCCACCAATGCAATTATGCAAGTACTCTAAATAGTTCTGAAAAAAAATATATATATATATATATATATATATATATATA